CTCTCCTTGGAGATGTAAGTTAGCTCATTTTTTTTTCTACCACTACATTATGTATTGTTCATATGAAATAGTTAATATTTTGGATGTTTTCAGCAGCTGGGCCATCTGACGAAAATTCTCCTAAAAATAGAAGACGCCTACACGCTCCCCGACTACGAGCCGAACTGGTCGTCAAAACGAAGTTGTTCTTCAAGCGACGACTCCGACTACGATGAATAGACCGCTCTTCCATGATCTCTTTCTTTTCTATAATAAATGTATTTGCTCTAACTTCTGTTTCTTTTAAACACTTGAAGAAATGAAGATAGGGATTCTCGCTCGGGATCCAGCCGATTTTGCGAGAACCCTCTATAGTGCGTTGCCTTGTAGATACAAGTTGTGTCCTGATGAGTAATACAAATCTTTCTGGAGACTTATGCCTTTTACCGTAATCCCTACCTCAAAGGTCATCACTGAATCGTGTTCACCTGGGTAATGGGAATGGCAATAAACAGCCGGCGAGGGGCTGCTAGTTATTGATGGTCGCCACTGTTGTTACATTGCCTGGGTCACTCCCTGATGCTCTAACTTTTGCTGACCTACGATGACCGATCGTAAAAGATCGTTGACTTCGTGGACAGCTGCTGAGCGGCGGCTAGTGAACCCAGCTTAATTGTAAAGTGGTGACCCGGGATCTCGCCTCGAGATAAACGATCTCTATTGGATACGAAGTGATTAATAGCAGTCCCTATGACCTGCTCACTATATGTGGTTCTCGAACAATGCGAGCCGTCCACCGTATCTTATAATAATGGGAACGAGATTAGCTACTTCTCGTATTATATGCGCATTTCGAGCAACCTGTCATGCCAGTTCCTGGAGGGATGGAAGGATGGCAGAGGAGCTCTTTTAATTTTTGACGTCATAATGGCGAACGAGTCCTTATTTGATAATTTATATCGGCGTAAATATGTGAAAAAAAAGAATTATCATTAGCTAGAATTTGTACAGTCTCCCTACCTTCTGAGCTAGTTCCTAGACCAGAAGTATTAACATAGGGTCGTGGTCATGCAGAACAATGATTTTCGGTCATTGTCTGCCTTCTATAGGAAACATAAAATAACTTCTATCATATATACAAAAGAAAATCTGAGGGTAAAGCGTATTTTTTTTTTTGTTATATATTTTTTCTAGAGTACTTCCTCCATAACGCCGAATCTACTCTAATTTGACATGATCAATTAACAAAGCTTGAAATGACCTAGGGATTGACATTTGACCTTGCACTACCGTGCTCCGTCGGAAATAATACGACCAATGAAC